CAGAAACGCGAGGAGGTATGTGGAATGCGCTTTGATACGAACATCAATTTGGCGGGAAACAAATACCTCTCGTTGTTTCTACTCTCCTAATACAAATTTCGTAGAGAGAACATACCCGTACAGGGCTCGCGTTTCAAAGTAGTATGGATGATGATTTGCTATCAGGATCACAGAAACGCGAGGAGGTATGTGGAATGCGCTTCGCTACGAATATCAATTTGGCGGGAAATTCAAACGTCAAACAAATACCTCTCGTTGTTTCTACTCCCCTAATACAAATTTCGTAGAGAGAACATACCCGTACAAGGCTCGCGTTTCAAAGTAGTATGGATGATGATTTGCTATCAGGATCACAGAAACGCGAGGAGGTATGTGGAATGCGCTTTGATACGAACATCAATTTGGCGGGAAACAAATACCTCTCGTTGTTTCTACTCTCCTAATACAAATTTCGTAGAGAGAACATACCCGTACAGGGCTCGCGTTTCAAAGTAGTATGGATGATGATTTGCTATCAGGATCACAGAAACGCGAGGAGGTATGTGGAATGCGCTTCGCTACGAATATCAATTTGGCGGGAAATTCAAACGTCAAACAAATACCTCTCGTTGTTTCTACTCCCCTAATACAAATTTCGTAGAGAGAACATACCCGTACAAGGCTCGCGTTTCAAAGTAGTATGGATGATGATTTGCTATCAGGATCACAGAAACGCGAGGAGGTATGTGGAATGCGCTTTGATACGAACATCAATTTGGCGGGAAACAAATACCTCTCGTTGTTTCTACTCTCCTAATACAAATTTCGTAGAGAGAACATACCCGTACAGGGCTCGCGTTTCAAAGTAGTATGGATGATGATTTGCTATCAGGATCACAGAAACGCGAGGAGGTATGTGGAATGCGCTTTGATACGAATATCAATTTGGCGGGAAATTCAAATGTCAAACAAATACCTCTCGTTGTTTCTACTCTCCTGATACAAATTTCGTTAGGGACTACACCAAGCTCTCCATTTAATATTGTATGGATGCCGATTTTCTATCAGGATCACAGAAACGCGAGGAGGTATGTGAAATGTGCTGTGTTTCTAATAATAATTTGGCGGGAAATGTAAACTTTAGATATCTCTCGATGCCTCTACTCTCCTGATAGTAACTTCGTAGAGGATTAACATCGAAGAACCTACAAGGTTCTCCATTCAATATTGTATGGATGACGGTTTGCTATCAGGATCACAGAAACGCGAGGAGGTATGTGGAATGCGCTTCGCTACGAATATCAATTTGGCGGGAAATTCAAACGTCAAACAAATACCTCTCGTTGTTTCTACTCTCCTAATACAAATTTCGTAGAGAGAACATACTCGTACAAGGCTCGCATTTCAAAGTAGTATGGATGACGATTTGCGATCAGGATCACAGAAACGCGAGGAGGTATGTGGAATGTGCTTTGTTTCTAATAATAATTTGGCGGGAAATGTAAACTTTAGATATCTTTCGATGCCTCTACTCTCCTGATAGTAACTTCGTAGAGGATTAACATCGAAGAACCGACAAGGCTATCCATTCAATATTGTATGGATGACGGTTTGCTATCAGGATCACAGAAACGCGAGGAGGTATGTGGAATGCGCTTTGATACGAATGTCAATTTGGCGGGAAACAAATACCTCTCGTTGTTTCTACTCTCCTAATACAAATTTCGTAGAGAGAACAACCCGTACAAGGCTCGCGTTTCAAAGTAGTATGGATGATGATTTGCTATCAGGATCACAGAAACGCGAGGAGGTATGTGGAATGCGCTTTGATACGAATATCAATTTGGCGGGAAATTCAAATGTCAAACAAATACCTCTCGTTGTTTCTACTCTCCTGATACAAATTTCGTTAGGGACTACACCAAGCTCTCCATTTAATATTGTATGGATGCCGATTTTCTATCAGGATCACAGAAACGCGAGGAGGTATGTGGAATGTGATTTGTTTCTAATAATAATTTGGCGGGAAATGTAAACTTTAGATATCTTTCGATGCCTCTACTCTCCTGATAGTAACTTCGTAGAGGATTAACATCGAAGAACCGACAAAGCTATCCATTCAATATTGTATGGATGACGGTTTGCTATCAGGATCACAGAAACGCGAGGAGGTATATAGAATGCGCTTTGCTAAATTCAAACGTCAAACAAATACCTCTCGTTGTTTCTACTCTCCTAATACAAATTTCGTAGAGAGAACATACCCGTACAAGGCTCGCGTTTCAAAGTAGTATGGATGATGATTTGCTATCAGGATCACAGAAACGCGAGGAGGTATGTGGAATGCGCTTTGATACGAACATCAATTTGGCGGGAAACAAATACCTCTCGTTGTTTCTACTCTCCTAATACAAATTTCGTAGAGAGAACATACCCATACAAGGCTCGCGTTTCAAAGTAGTATGGATGATGATTTGCTATCAGGATCACAGTAACGCGAGGAGGTATGTGGAATGCGCTTTGCTACGAATATCAATTTGGCGGGAAATTCAAACGTCAAACAAATACCTCTCGTTGTTTCTACTCCCCTAATACAAATTTCGTAGAGAGAACATACCCGTACAAGGCTCGCGTTTCAAAGTAGTATGGATGATGATTTGCTATCAGGATCACAGAAACGCGAGGAGGTATGTGGAATGCGCTTTGATACGAACATCAATTTGGCGGGAAACAAATACCTCTCGTTGTTTCTACTCTCCTAATACAAATTTCGTAGAGAGAACATACCCGTACAGGGCTCGCGTTTCAAAGTAGTATGGATGATGATTTGCTATCAGGATCACAGAAACGCGAGGAGGTATGTGGAATGCGCTTTGATACGAATATCAATTTGGCGGGAAATTCAAATGTCAAACAAATACCTCTCGTTGTTTCTACTCTCCTGATACAAATTTCGTTAGGGACTACACCAAGCTCTCCATTTAATATTGTATGGATGCCGATTTTCTATCAGGATCACAGAAACGCGAGGAGGTATGTGAAATGTGCTGTGTTTCTAATAATAATTTGGCGGGAAATGTAAACTTTAGATATCTCTCGATGCCTCTACTCTCCTGATAGTAACTTCGTAGAGGATTAACATCGAAGAACCTACAAGGTTCTCCATTCAATATTGTATGGATGACGGTTTGCTATCAGGATCACAGAAACGCGAGGAGGTATGTGGAATGCGCTTCGCTACGAATATCAATTTGGCGGGAAATTCAAACGTCAAACAAATACCTCTCGTTGTTTCTACTCTCCTAATACAAATTTCGTAGAGAGAACATACTCGTACAAGGCTCGCATTTCAAAGTAGTATGGATGACGATTTGCGATCAGGATCACAGAAACGCGAGGAGGTATGTGGAATGTGCTTTGTTTCTAATAATAATTTGGCGGGAAATGTAAACTTTAGATATCTCTCGATGACTCTACTCTCCTGATAGTAACTTCGTAGAGGATTAACATCGAAGAACCGACAAGGCTATCCATTCAATATTGTATGGATGACGGTTTGCTACCAGGATCACAGAAACGCAAGGAGGTATGTGGAATGCGCTTTGCTACGAATATCAATTTGGCGGGAAATTCAAACGTCAAACAAATACCTCTCGTTGTTTCTACTCTCCTAATACAAATTTCGTAGAGAGAATATACTCGTACAAGGCTCGCATTTCAAAGTAGTATGGATGACGATTTGCTATCAGGATCATAGAAACGCGAGGAGGTATGTGAAATGTGCTGTGTTTCTAATAATAATTTGGCGGGAAATGTAAACTTTAGATATCTTTCGATGCTTCTACTCTCCTGATAGTAACTTCGTAGAGGATTAACATCGAAGAACCTACAAGGTTCTCCATTCAATATTGTATGGATGACGGTTTGCTATCAGGATCACAGAAACGCGAGGAGGTATGTGGAATGCGCTTCGCTACGAATATCAATTTGGCGGGAAATTCAAACGTCAAACAAATACCTCTCGTTGTTTCTACTCTCCTAATACAAATTTCGTAGAGAGAACATACTCGTACAAGGCTCGCATTTCAAAGTAGTATGGATGACGATTTGCGATCAGGATCACAGAAACGCGAGGAGGTATGTGGAATGTGCTTTGTTTCTAATAATAATTTGGCGGGAAATGTAAACTTTAGATATCTCTCGATGCCTCTACTCTCCTGATAGTAACTTCGTAGAGGATTAACATCGAAGAACCGACAAGGCTATCCATTCAATATTGTATGGATGACGGTTTGCTACCAGGATCACAGAAACGCAAGGAGGTATGTGGAATGCGCTTTGCTACGAATATCAATTTGGCGGGAAATTCAAACGTCAAACAAATACCTCTCGTTGTTTCTACTCTCCTAATACAAATTTCGTAGAGAGAACATACTCGTACAAGGCTCGCATTTCAAAGTAGTATGGATGACGATTTGCGATCAGGATCACAGAAACGCGAGGAGGTATGTGGAATGTGCTTTGTTTCTAATAATAATTTGGCGGGAAATGTAAACTTTAGATATCTCTCGATGCCTCTACTCTCCTGATAGTAACTTCGTAGAGGATTAACATCGAAGAACCTACAAGGTTCTCCATTCAATATTGTATGGATGACGGTTTGCTATCAGGATCACAGAAACGCGAGGAGGTATGTGGAATGCGCTTTACTTCAAATATTAATTTGGCGGGAAGTGCAAACGTCACACAGATACCTCTCGTTGTTTCAACTCCCTTTATACAAATTTCGTAGAGAATAAACTGACCAGGCCGCCCTTTTAATGCAGTCTGAATGAAGATTTGCTATCAGGATTACAGAAACGCGAGGAGGTATGTGGAATGTGCTTTGCTTCAAATATCAATTTGGCGGGAAATTCAAACGTCAAACAAATACCTCTCGTTATTTCTATTATCATGATACAAGTTTTGTTCTAAGGTCGTATGGATGACGATTTGCTATCAGGATCATAAAAACGAAAAAACTCGTTTCCAAAATTTTATTTCCTACTTACACTATACAATGTACAAAACCTAATTTTCATAAAAAATATTAGACTACTTCAGTAATGTTACACTTTAAAAATTTAGTACCAAATTAAAGTACGGCTGCTACATAAAAATTATAATGTATGAAAATCACATGCGTTCCTTAACATAAAAATGTATTTTTATATATATATTAATCCTAAGTTTATTACCTTGTACCTAACAAACAAAGCAATTTCCTTCATTCATTAGGTTGCAGAATTTGTTTCCAACAGTAAATGGAGTAGGAACCAATTTCTACCATATATGTACAATGAATTTTATTCCAAAAGGCGTGTTGATCACTTGATCATTCGATATAAAAAATATAATCTGCGATTTATACGAAAAAATTTCAGAACCTTTAAATATATACCTTAGTAGTGTATCATCTGCACACCTAACGTTTACAAAATACACATAACTACTGCAACTGCAGTTACATCAAGACAGCTATTTCAATAAAGTTATGTTATGTATAAATACAAGAATTATCATACGATTCAATCTAAATTTCCCAAAATGAACAATGATACTCAAAACATACACAAACAAGCTCTGCGCTAATGCGTAACATGACCATGACAAAAACCAATAAGCTGTTTGAGTGTTTTCAAGCTTCTGTAATACGGTACGAAAAGTGCATTGCTTCAAAGCTGTAAAATTTCCTTATTCACCTTGGAAAACATAACTTGAACCGACAGATAGAAAATCATTCTGCTAGAATAAACATTATTCTGAATCAGAATACTCTATAAATACACAAACCTGCTTATGTTACCACCCCATTATACAAAATTTTCAACAGTAAAGGCCGCGGTTATAATCTGACGTGGCAGATGTCAGGCGACAAGTGGTAGACGACAGGCGAAGTCGATTATATCTGTTTTACATTGTTTTTGATCCACCCGTTTATACTTCAAGGTGAATGTCAACGTCAAATCCAACAACACTAGATGCGCCATTTGGTTTCCTAAAGCTTTTCTTTGTATTTAAACATTTTTTAGCACTCTTAGTTTCAGACATAATTAGATGTGCCACACTTTTGGGACACTCTGTATAATTCTGTGTAAAAAATACTGGATGGGACATTTTTGATAGGGAAATTTGCTTTTCCAAAATACGACTTCCAGCACTACCTTGACGTAAAATAATAGCATAAAACGAGTGCCACAACTCCCCCGTTCTTTCTCAGATTGGAGTGCCTCGTAGCTTGGGAAGTTAAGATGGTATTAACCATGGGCCGGCCGGCACCGATTACGGTGCAGACTCTGAGATTTTTGACTCCGTATGAAAAGCACGGCGGGTCGATTGGATTGCAGGTAGTGATGAACAGCATCAATGTTGCTGTTAATCCCGCAGATGTTCGGAAAACAAATCTTATCTTCGATGTTGTTCCTCGAGCCCACCCTCCACCCGGACATTCCGAGAGTGGAGTTAGTAACTACCGAGCGATGTTACCAGCAGTACCGCCTGGGGTATAAGTTGTTTTTTATTTTTTAATTGTTGGATAAAACACAAAGAGAGACAGGGAGAATTCTCACGGTATTACCGGTATTTCTTTCAAGACATATAAGAAAATGTTCCAGTTCCGCCACGATCCAGAAAGTTCCGCAAACCAGAACTTATTCCTCTAACTGGCAACACTGATCACAGTACACAGGAGGTGCAAAAAAAAACGTTTATATTTTACAGTCACTTCATAGTTGACTGTGAATTGAAATACATCTATTAATATATGAATCATACGCGATGATATTGTACCTGAAGATAGCATACCGTATTCCGGTGTCCAAAATGGGTTCTAGCACCATCTACGAGACAAGAACACAAAAATAAATTTATAAATCTACTTTGATAAGAATAAGTGTTTGGTTGTTAAGTCTATGGCCTACCACCCGCTACGTGATGTCTGCCATCTATCGCGACCTAAGGTTATTGATTTCAATGGTCTGGATCCAATGAAATAATACTGCATTCTTTGAAATCCATACAATAAGATCAAATTCAAGTTTTTAACTGACGAATATGAATTCAACAAACCAATTTGAAAAAGTAATATGCCTTCCAAATGTGCTAAAAATACCTTTATAAGATTGTATGGAAGAAAGTAATGATCAACTAAAGAATCTGCTAAGCTTGTCTGAAGTTCTTTAACAAAAGCATCCTACTTTAACCCATAACAGTATGTTTATATTACACCTCTAGTTTACTCAGTTTTTCTACTCCACTGCTCATGTAAAAATTGCACAGAATTGAATTTCACGTGTACGGGAAAATTTGTACATTTAAGTAGTGTCCAAATAGATTCAAGCTATCCCATGAAACTAACTATTGTCAGTGACTTGAGTGGATGTGCACTGACAAATTGAGACCTTAGTGAGCAAAAACAATTTTTGTGGAACTATTACCGTCAGATTCACCATACTCCATTTGGTGTTCAAGATCCTTGTTCTTCTTATGCACTGCAATTTTTTGAGGAAATGAAGCTAGACGAATCTAACTTATGGTACTTTGACTCTAAGACCTTAAAATAAGGATACAATGACTGCCTTAGTACAGTCAAGTCATGAGCAATGGAATGGGAAACTATCAAATAAATATATGATGCATCTACATTACTTCTTTTCTGATTATACACAATGACCAAACTGTCAAAAACAGAAAGTGATACAAATCGTTATTTCAAAGATTTGAAATTTAATTAATAAAATGGCTTTTTCAAATACAAAGAATTGTATTGACATTGCACTGAGATTGAGATATATCTTATTATATCAGGTGCATCAAAAGTAACGGAATGGCTTTGTATTTTTACAGGTATTTTTTTAATAAGATGAAGATCAGGTCTTACTAACTTTGAACAAGAGGTTATAGTGACCTTGTTAAAGGATATTCCAAGGTCAATGCGTAAATCAAATATCACCTCATGAGCAATTGAAATAACTTGAAATTCTACATACGAATATGTATTATAATATTAGATCAAGGTCACGTCTAAAGAAGATTAGCAGGATTATTGAGACAAAAATTCATCAAGGACATGTCTATAGTTACTTATCAACAAGAAATTGTACATTGAATCTCACCTGCAAAGTTAACTTTTTTCAACTCTTTTGACACCAGCAATGGGCAACTTTACGATCTCATTTCTCATGTACTATTATGATATTGAAGGTGGGGCTCAAGGTCAAATCCAAGGTTAATATTGAAACCCTCGTTAAATGTTACTAAAGGTCTGCACAGTTTTTCATCAATATTCATGCTGAACCTGGATGAATGTTCCCTAGCCTCAAACATTTGGCCATAAAGAGTGAACTTGATTCGAATATTCGGAAGTAGTTTTCCCTGCTTTCAATTGCTAAAAAGGGCCACTTCCATTTAAAAAACAAAAAGTTGACTATGAGATAAGATATGCGGCTCAAGGTCAAACCCAAGGTTAATATTGAAACCCTCGTTAAATGTTACTAAAGGTCTGCACAGTTTTTCATCAATAATCCTGCTAGACTTCGATGAATTTTTCCTTACCTCAGACATTTGGCCTCAAAGCGTGAGCTTGATCTTAGATTTTGGTATTCCGAATATTCGGACGTAGAGTTTTCTCTTCTTTCAATTGCCCAAAAGGGGTACTTCCATTTTAAAAATAAAAAGTTAACTTTGAGATAAGATGCGGCCCAAGATCAAATTAAAATCCATGTTCAAAGTATGACCTTTTTCAAAAATATTTTACCTGAAAAATACAGGGCCGGTTACACTATAATGTAAGCCACAAATTTATATCACTCTCTACTTTCGATGTTGGGCAGTAATATATTTTTGGATATTTTGTTTATAAAGCATAGATTCGATGGATGAATAAAATAGCTGCTAGTCGTTTAAATTTTCTAAAGACAACTCAATTTTGTCAGACCTCCCTGAGTTTCCAATGTAGTTTTCTTTTTCTGTTATCGCAGAAAAATGGTAATTATTTTTCCTTCCGATAAAATAGTTATGAAATAACGCGTAAATTACGATGTGAAAATGTATAACGGCAAGAAACCATTGCAAAAATGTAAGTTTGAATAGAGCCGTAAAAATGCGAGAATGATTTTTCAGAACAAAATGAGCAGAGATAAAAAATTAGGTAATGGTACGGCGAAACGTTATAATAGTTACTAAGGTTGGAATGTATTCTAAAAAGTGCACTGCAACTATCTTTCCAAATAAATATTTTATTTTTTCTAACTTTCCACCCTTATAGTTATCAAAAAGTCACAATTCAGATAAACGTTGATATGTTCGAAAAATGTCGCTTTTGTGTTTTCAACAACATAACAACTGTCGTTATCCCTGCAATCCTAAGAACTATTTCTTGAATATAGCTTTGTTCCAAGATGGAAAAATCATTTATATCTTTGAACATAACCTTCTATACTTGAGAAATAGCTATTCCTATTGAATTGGAAATGAGTAAGGTCAATATACTAACTATAGTGTCTACTCATTTTTAGTTTTCCTAAAGTATCAACTATAAAAATCATTCTCCCATTTTTGCAAATTACCCATGTTTACACCTTTCGCCCTCAAATTAATATCAAATTGATATCAGAGACTCCACAAAATAAATATTCATTCTGATAAAAATATATCTTCCAAAAAACAATTTCAACAAAAAAGTGTTATATATTAAAAAATAAATTTGAGCAAGGTTATTTCAATTCAAGAACCAGCTTTTAATCCTTGTGATTCTGTGGCGGGTCTTTTTGTTCAGGATTCGTAACATTAGTACTGGAACGTGGTACCATCAAGATTGTTCCGTCAGCTGAAGCTTGTAAGCTGTACTGGTATGGAGAATACTGGTTTCCCTCAGGATCCCGTAAATTCTGAAACGAAAAATGCTTGGTTATCTAAAAGGCTGACAGGCCGTTGTGATTATTTTTCTCAAAGGCGTAGTTGGGCTTGTAGGTAATCAGCTAGAGGCAGAGTTGCTAGCTGTTCAACCGAAAGCATATGCGGGGGGCGCCTAGTACTTTTTTCAGCTATTTAGCTTATTTCATCTAATAACATTATTTTTGAGCTACTATTATACAAGGGTTGAAAGAAATAGCAGCTTTCCATTAGGGATACTTCATCTCCGACAACCTAAATGAGTAAGGTTTAAGGCCTATTTAAGAAAAAACGATCTCCAGTCGCGACGAGTGAAAGAACCGTCTCCAGCGCTGTGTGGCTTGAGAAGGAAGCCATTTTGAGGGAGACAATATGAAACTGTAACTATATTTGAATAAAAAAATGAAACAAATCAATCTCATCACTTAATTTACAGATCTTGGGCAGTAGTAGAGGTAGGTATACCTTTAATAGAATGATTGTTTTCTCGCTTTACACGAGGCATACAGGGTCTGACAGAAATTTCTGCTTTTTGTAATATTGTATTTACAATTTTTTCTTTTTTATCTAACAGGCTGTTTAGTATATGGAAGCTTCATATAATTTTCGTATTGTGAGAAATTCCATTATCGAATCACTGCTCATGCTGAAGCATTAGAATGAATTCTAATAATAAATAATTTTCAATAAAATAAAAAATGGGAAGTACTACTAGTTAATGTTACTTAAAACAATTCGACTCTATTGACATTTTGGCCATCTCTCTTAGATGTTTTTAAACAACAAAATATGAATAACAATTTTAACTATTGTCTTTAAACACATTTACTTTGGGAAAAGCATCTTAGGGGAGTCAAAACGTGTGTAAAGTAGAATTGGAGATATGTGGTGTTATTCTTTGGCCAGCAAAAAGCTTACTATTATGGGCCACGATACTTCCCGTTTGGGGCTTGTGTGCAAAAACTGCTGATCAATCAGAAAATATTAATTGTCGCCTTTTGATGAAAGTATTAGGCGGGTGATACTCGCCCGCAGTCTCATTTTGATGGTCCGAGGTTATCATCAACCGAAAGGCCTCCACTTTGGATATCGGGAGGAGCTAATTGACCTCTTGAGGCCATTTTATTTGTGTTTGCTGGGAGAACAATACTGCAGTCGATTTTTGGAGAAGTTGGATTTCTGTGTGCGTCTTCAAGATCATCTTGATACTCCGCGAGTATATTCATTACGTCGTCCTCGATGTTTCCATCAGAGTTGAGGTAAGTTAGTCTCTATCGTACAAAATCCATCTATGTAGACACAGTATAAGACCTAGACAGTCCCAAATGTTGCAAATTTAGGAAGAAGTAAACAAACTCCCGATTTTAAATCTTGTAACTCATTACCAAATGAATAGTGAGTATTTTTCTTAATTTTTTTTACGTTTTTGGTGCTGTTTCGCAGCAAATTAATTTTGAACGTAGTTAAATATAAAGTATAAATAGATATCGTACCTGAAAAACATGTCTGTAAAGCTGTTGATACTTGTCTTTCATACGCTTGCACTTATTCATTGTATATTCGTGATCATTGATGAGTCTCATTTTCCTGTCGCGTATTTCTTTGACCTCATCAGCCAGGCTGAGGATTTGGTCGAGTTTGCGCTTCCTGCAGTTCTGGGCGGCGACTTTGTTCTTGCCTCGCCTTCTGATGTCTCGAATCAAGCTGAGTTGAGCTTCGCTCAGGTCGTACTTCGACAACCGTTCGTTGAATTCATCCATCGGAAGGTTTATTATGTCATCGACGGCTATGGGCACGTTCAATGCTCTAGCGCGTTTTTCATCTCTGTAAAAGAAGGAGAAACTGAATAGAATAATACTAAAATTTCGAGAATCGAATCGGTGGAGGGTATTGGAGAGGCTCAAAAATGAATAATGAAGTGAACAGCGAATATTACTATAGAGTTATATGTTTGTTTGTAAAACTAGACAAATTTATCGTATATGACCAATTTATTTAAAAACTATCAAGGTAGATTGGGTGGCAGAGTGGTGATGGGGTGAGTAAGTACTGCTGAGTAACCCCACGACCTCAGCTTCTTTTTAAAATTGTTGAGAGCATAATTTCGAAATTCAAATGGAAGACTATTGTATCACTTAGCAGCAGTATAACAGAAGCTCTTTTTGTAAAGTGCTTAGGTATAACTAATAATTGTCGATTTCTGGTAGCCAAGTTATTGATGTTTCCAAATTTGTTGAGTTTATTTAAAAGATATTATGGTTTCTTATTCACTAAAATTTTATGAATCAAACATAAACTTTGGTATTTTCTGAGGTTCTCCATGTTCATTTAACAATTCTCTTTGTCTTTATCATTTTTTATTTTAGCTGGGCCATATACACTTGCACAGCATGGAACCCTTGAAATTATAACAACATCACACAATAGCATTTTCAGTTTCCTGTTTAATATATTTCTTTGAGGATATATTTGTTTGAGAATACTATATGATTTTGAGCATAATTCTTTAATATGGAAATCAAATTTTAATTAATTGTCCAAATATAACCCTAAAATTTTCCTAATGGTTAGAATTGGTAATGGAATTTTATTAATTGCTAATTGACAAAGATTTTCTGCTATGTTACGCTCGTTCCATGACCCAAAAAACAAGTCCAGATTGGGGGAGCACGGACAAATATGAAAGTTATTTGGAAAGAATTAAAAATATTGATGTTTTTGGTGGATGTGCACATTCCAGAGACGACCTAAGAGATGCACATTCACCAAAAATAGCAAAATGTGTGACCTGTGCCTAAATTATTTCTTCTTTGTTCATCGAACCCCAATTTTTACTTCATATTCGTATTTATAGTAGAAAAATACATGGAAAAACATAATGCGACCCCAAACGCACATCACATTTTTTATTTTGTGCATCTTCCAGAGGCATCCGAAGAGATGCACATTCAACAAAAATGCCAAAATGTGTGATCTTAATGCATGGATTACTTTCATATTTGTCCATCTACCCCCTACCCCCCCCCCTATTTTGACTTCAAATTCGTGTTCAGCGTGAAGAGGTACATGGGAAAACATAGTGTGACCTCAAACCCACACCACTTGTTTATTTTGTGGATCTATGAAAGCAATAGTCATTTAGAGAAAAACTATTTTTTCCATCATGGTAAGGGCAGGAAGGAAACAGGAAGAAAGGGGTATTTTTTGGAGAACCAAGGGCTACATTGCAAATATTGACTTTAATGGCTAATATTGAGCGTGACTTTTACAGCAGCATATAGCCACAATAAGCCTGCAAAATTCCACCTTGAAGTGCAGCGAGGTTTTTTTTTGTTTTGAACAAAGTTGCAGATTCGAATAAATTAAAAAAACACGTTTATTGCTGCTAAAGCTGTAAAACGAAAAACTAGTTTTGTTGAGCTTTCTACTTACAAAAAGCATGCAAATTTAAAGGAAAAAATCCTTTTAAAAAATGTTTACGCCTTTTTGTAAGAAAAATATGGAAGAAGCAAAAAACTGTCATGCCTCAAAATATTTCATTCAACTTTTAAAATACTGCATATTTCATAAATTATAAATTAAAGTTATAGAAACGTATAATAAAGATTGAAATGGTCAGATCAGTCTGCTTATTAACTGCAGCTCATGCCCAAGAACAAGTTTCTGTGTAACTTTTTTGGGTCCTTTCGTTTATTGTATAAGATGACCTTTTTTACCTACTACTGCTATACTTTTTTTTATTTTTAGCAATAAACGTTATTATTATTGTTATTAACAAGGATGTAAGATAATATTTTAAATGTTTTTGAATTCCATAAAAAGTGATGATTTACTACAGTTATGAAGAAAGCTTAGTCATTGCCTACCGTATGACTAGCTCCAAGTAGGTGTTTTGAAAAGTTTGATCAATCAGATTGTCTATTTTTAAACGCATTTGTATGTCCGCTATACGTTATTAAAAATTAATTAGATATTTGGACTATACATTCAAAGTGCTAAAAACACAAAATATGGTACAAACCAAGGGACCCTAAAAAAATATTTGAAAGACACTGCAAACTAAATAGTTTTTGCAGTTGTCTACTTTCAAAATGTCGGCCTTTACGAAAAAAGGTCTATCTCTATATCTTATCTGCAATTTTTTTTAAAAATCTAGTAATAAAAAGTTCTTTAACATGCCTAATTTCGGACCATTTACCTTACCTACAAGCTAATTTCCTTATACCTACAGAACATATAATGTCTCAAGTGTATTAACAATTCGCCCATTAATTTCTTGAGTCAAAATACACTCGATTGTGCGGAATAGTAATGAAAGAATCACCTTTTATCGTACCTGGTGAGGTGTTCATCCTCAGCCTTTCCACCTTTCTTCTTGTCTCTAGAAAGAGGCCTCTGCATAGCCCCAGAGCTCTCTGCTGGTAAATGGTACGTGTGGTTGTGATGAATGGGATCCATGTTGTTTCTGGCCAAATGCCCTTGGAGTCCGAACTCCATTGAGCACGAGTACTTCATTTCCGGCATCTTTCCGGGCACAGAGCTCTCAGCTGGGTTGGGGAGGTACGATGTCGAGGATGGCTCGTACTTCATCGGGGTCGGGGGTACAGCTTGTGATGCGCTGGTCGCATTGTGTTCCTACAAAAAATCGCGTCCAGTAGATTGACTCCATACTTTCCACGCTTTCGAAAAGACTAGTACAATTGAGGCGCGTTTTACAAAACCAACATATGTATGGCCAAAATAAAAAATTTTCAGGAAACAGACAAAAAGGATTTATTTCAAAGCTGATAATTTTCTTGAATACTTTTTTGTTAATTACTATTAATAATAGCTTGAAAATATGATCTTCACTAAAAAAAATGTGTACATACATACATACGTACATACGTACATGCGTACATGCGTACATATGTACATGCGTACATACGTACATACGTACATGCGTACATACGTACATGCGTACATGCGTACATACGTACATGCGTACATACGTACATACGTACATGCGTACATACGTACATACGTACATGCGTACATACGTACATGCGTACATACGTACATGCGTACATACGTACATACATACATACATACATACGTAATACATACATTCATACATACATACATACATACATACATACATACATACATACATACATACATACATACATACATACATACATACATACATACATACATACAGACATACATACATAAATACATAGATACAGGCCAAGCTAATAACAGCGTGTTAAAAAGTAATTGAGTAATACACTGACTTACCTGGAAGTATCTCTTTCCATACATATGATGCTTCTTCTGAGCGACTGGAGCAATACGAGTTGAATCGGAGCTAGTCATGCCATTATTTAGTTGCCTACTGGAGTAACTATAGTCGTATGGCCGCATTTTGCTGGAATAAAAACACAGATATTTGAAAAATAATATTCTTTTAAGTTGGGCATTGAGAGACATTGTTTTAGACTATATGCCACATATACGATATGTGTATGTTAAAACGTCTAAAATTACGCAGCTTTACTGTTACTGCAATTCTCAGATACTATGTATGAATGAATATGTTGAGCAATCCCGCTCATAGGTTATTATTTGATTTTCTAAGAATAGATAAGGTGGAGTTCCTGAATATATGCACAATTCATCATATGCCATAAACTCAAACTAGTATAAATCTGAAAAAGTAGAAACGTTCAGTTAATTACGAGTATCTATTCAAAAGTTGTAGTGCAAAATGATGTACTAGTTAAGAATAAATGAAATATTAAGTAAACTTCAGTTTTTTAGATTTTAAAAATATTGATCAACAAGTTGAGAATTCTACACAAGTTGTACACCAATATGCGGCCAATAAATGTTCTGCCAGATGTTAAAAAAGAAATTATTTACGAACAGATCATCGAATTTATGGAGGGAAATAACATTTTAACCAAATTTCAAGCTGGATTAAGGAAGAAACACTCAACTAAAACGGCAACAAATTGGTTTTAGAGGACTGGAGGAGATGTATGGACAGTAGGAAAGATACAGTAACGGTGTTTTTGGTCTTCAAAAGGGCGCTTGAGACTAATGACTAAATTACTTACAAAATTGCATCACTACGGATTTAAAGGATGTGTATTCAAAATTCTACAAAACTATTTATTTGACATAAGTCAAAAAACCAAAATTGGATCTACATTAAATATTTCTGGTGGTATACCACAAGGTAGTAAACTAGGGCCATTACTATTTATTTTATACATTAATGTAATTTGTAATATTTTAGATTATTGTAAAATTCAGATATTTGCAGATGATACATTAATATACATATCAGATGAAAATATAGGCATGCTTTAAAAATGCTAAGTTCTGACTTGGCAAAAATCATAAATTGGTTAAATGTAAATAAACTAAAATTGAATATTTCTAAAACAAAATGTATGCTAATAGGGAAATACCTAAGTGAAAATACTATAAATAACAATTAGGACAAATGATGAAATAATTGAAAATGTTGAATCAATTAAATATTTAGGTATACAGGGTGTCCCAGAAGTCGACGTCAAGCCGAAACCGGGTGATAGGCAAAGTCATAACAGCTATCAGAAAAATATTTAAAAAAATTTTATGTATGTGTTTTGAAAATTATAGGTCTTTGAAAAAATATAGAAATTTCACACCCTACGGCAGTCTGTCAACTCCTGTTACTACAAATATTAACTTTTTTTGGATTTTATTTTTACAATGTAATGATGGATAATGCATCTTCAAACTGGTGTCTCAACATTACTGCCAACTTTTCTCGTTCAGGAAAAATTGCCACTTATTTCCCAACCAAGTATTCCGAAGTAAAACTTTGCTCAACTTTAACTGGCTGTACTGGAAAAAAATGTACTACGAGACTCTGGCAAGTAACCTTAAAAGTTGGCGCATTTAATAAGGATTCCAAAATGGTATAACACTTAGAAGATTACTCGTTAACTTATGCACAATTTTTATTTGAAGAAAAACTGATGAAAATTTTTCAAAATTTCCTAATTAAACAGCGATTATGAAAACGCACAAGGACTCTTAAGGATAATAATGTTTGCACAACAGTGGGCGTCAAAATGCTGCTGATGATGATTTACCTCTACAGCAAATGCTCAAACTGTTTTCCTTCAGCCGCAATACACGCTCGACATCTTCTTAAAAAAGATCGGGTTACTAAACGAGCGAATCCACGGTTATTAAAAAACTCAGCTGCTTCCAATAGTATTTGCCGTAGCTCAGCTACATTTTGAATCGGCTTGAAATACACTTTTTCTTTTACAGTTCCCCAGAAAAAAAAATCTAACGGATTCAAATCTGGTGACCGGGCTGGCCACGGTATTGTACCAGACCGCCCTATCCATCTGCCTGGAAAGTTTTGATCGCGATACTCTCTCACTGAGAGTGCATAGTGCGCTGGGCAGTCATCATGCTGAAACCAGATGTCCCTGTAAATACTCAGTGGCACATTTAAGAAAGATGGGTACATGAACCTGCATAACTTACACGAGTGGCACGTAGCAAACCCACATTTGATGAGAGAAGATAAATCTCAATATCGCTTCAAGATAAACCATTGGACAGGAATTTTAAATGGTAAAATAATCGATCCGTTTGAGTTCCCAGAGACTTTGACTGCTGAAGTTTATTTGGATTTTTTGAAAACTCATGCATAAAATTTATTGGTGGACGTGCCACTGAGTATTTACAGGGACATGTGGTTTCAGCATGATGGCTGCCCAGCGCACTATGCACTCTCAGTGAGAGAGTATCTCGATCAAAACTTTCCAGGCAGATGGATAAGGCGGTCTGGTACAATACCGTGGCCAGCCCGATCACCTGATTTGAATCATTTAGATTTTTTTACTGGGGAACTGTATAAGAAAAAGTGTATTTCAAGCCGATTCAAAATGTAGCTGAGCTACGGCAAAAACTATTGGAAGCAGCTGAGTTTGTTAATAACCGTGGATTCGCTCGTTTAATAACCCGATCTTTTTTAAGGAGATGTCGAGCGTGTATTGCGGCTGAAGGAAAACAGTTTGAGCATTTGCTGTAAAGGTAAATCATCATCAGCAGCATTTTGACGCCCACTGTTGTGCAAACAGTTATCCTTAAGGGTCCTTGTGCGTTTTCATAATCGCTGTTTAATTAGGAAATTTTTAAAAATTTTCATCAGTTTCTCTTCAAATAAAAATTGTGCATAAGTTAACGAGTAATCTTCTAAGTGTTATACCATTTTGGAATCCTTATTAAATGCGCCAACTTTTAAGGTTACTTGCCAAACTCTCGTAGTACATTTTTTTCCAGTACAGCCAGTTAAAGTTGAGCAAAGTTTTACTTTGGAATACTTGGTTGGGAAATAAGTGGCAATTTTTCCTGAACGAGAAAAGTTGGCAGTAAGGTTGAGACACCAGTTTGACGATGCATTATTCATCATTACATTGTAAAAATAAAATCCAAAAAAATTTAATATTTGTAGTAACAGGAGTTGACAGACTGCCGTAGGGTGTGAAATTTCTAAATTTTTTTCAAAGACCTATAATTTTCAAAACACATACATAAAATTTTTTTAAATATTTTTCTGATAGCTGTTATGACTTTGCCTATCACCCGGTTTCGGCTTGACGTCGACTTCTGGGACACCCTGTATATTTTAATAGTAAACTAAAGTTGAGGATCACTATGAATACATTATTTCCAAAATTGTCAAAAAAACAAACTCCTTTATAGGGTTTCTCATAGTCTTAGTACATATTCCAAGAAAATAGTTTATAATACAATTATCCTACATCATTTACTGTATTGTTCAACTATCTTGTTAAAATAAGTACACCAAAATAAAATGTATGTTACAAGAATTACAGTGCTTGAATATAAAAAATTTCTTATCATATTTGGCTCTCATTTTAATATTTAAAATAAAAAATCATCTTTTGCCACTACATAGAATTGAATAATCATTACCACAATTATTATACAAGAGGAAATACAAATATCAATATTTCAGAAAGGATTACTTGAATTTAATAAACTAAATAATGATATAGAGTCTACTTGTAGTTTGGATATTTTTAAAAGATAATTAAAGGAATATTTCATGGACAGAGAAAATTCTTATAAATGCAATTTTTGTTTTTTTCTAAATATCTATATGTTATGTAATTGTTTAGTTTTTTAGAAGAATGTCATTGTAGCAATCATGCTAAATAAATTTTAAACAAACAAACAAATTTGACAGCAAATTTCAATTCAATTGTTACGAGTGTTTTGCTTTGAAAAACTGATCAAACAAGGTTATTGATAACTATCTCGATGTTTATATATATCATGTGATTTCATTTTCAGTTGTTTTGCAACACTATTGAATATTTACTAAATCATTTACTACTTTATGATAATTATGTTTTATGATCGTTATTGTTTTATGGATCTAAAGTACTTAATGGTAGATTCAAAACTCAATTAATCAAATATATTAGCGGGATATTTCTCAACTATTTTTTGGATTAACGTGACAGTCGGAGATTTTTTTTTTTAAACGAACATTGTTCTTGTTTACCTTTGTTAAAATTTTATCTCGTGGTTTTTGTGAAGAAAGTAGTTTCTGAAGCTCAGTAGTACCGATATTTCCAGTTCATTTAGTAGTGTTAATCATAACAAAATGACTCGAGTTTGAAGACGTAAAAATTATCACCATGTTGGTTTGTCCTATCGCGAAATTGGCCGCCTTGTTAATTGTACTGCAATGACGGTAATGCGTGTGTGTCGTGTGTGGATAGAAGCAGGTACAGGAACACGAAGAAGACCAACTGATCCACAGAGGCATACCCTAGAGCGTCAAGATAGGCACTTCAGAGATACCGTTTCGTTACTACGCGTCAGATCACTGACCAATTGTTTGGAGAAGAAGGTAGACCTGTTACTATGCGTATTCGAGCCTTTGGACTTTTTACATACCGTCCACGGTTAGTGCTTCCTCTGACTGCGGACCAGTATCGCCAACGTTTGACGTTTTTGACATAATGTCATTTCAGCGACGAATTGCGATTCTGTCTAGGTACGCACGATGATCGTAGAAGTGTAAGACGCCACCGTGGAAAACGGCGTGATATTGAATTTGCTGTTGGGAGGCATGTACACAGTACTGTTGGAGCAATGGTTTGGGGGCTACTGCCTATGGTAGCCGATCACCTCTTGTATTTGTTCAAGGCAAAATGACTGCTGCGCGTTATATTGATTATGTCCTACAAACCACTTTACTGTCGTATCTAGAGGGCCGTCCACACGTCCTTTTTCAGAAATACAACGCACGTCCCTATATTGCTCGTCGTACTACGGACTTTATTCAAGAAGGAGGGGTTAATGTTTTGCCGTGTGGCCACCCCGTTCACCGGATTTAAATCCCATCGAGCATTTTTTTTTTGGGGGGGGTACAGACGTATACAGGAGTGCATTCAGCTGCGGGGTCGCTCAACACATTATTAATTTTTTTCTTATTACTTGTTAATAAAATTTCGTGAGAATCTTAATGTTTCATTCTTGATGTAAGACTACCTCATTGCCAAAAAATCAAGTTGAGGAAATTATTTTTTCTGGGTGTGACAATGTCACTGAGTATACATCATAATAAACTGCATACCCTCAAATAATGTTTTGATAAATTTTACTGGATGCCATACGCCTTTTTCTTGTCGATATTTCATTATGAATCTTTGCTCAACAGGATCCATTTCACACAGGAAACCAAAAAGCAACGTCAAAACAGTTCGACTTATACACTTAATATTTTACATACAGCAGTTTTCGGCGATGAACCGCGGTTTTTCCTTGGTTATGCCCTTTGCGGTCAAAATTCAACGATTATACAGGATGACTTCGAAGTTGAGTCATTTATTTTAACAGTGAGTAGATCTGATCAAAAGAAATGTTTTTTTCCTTTACCATTTTTCTAGTAAAATTAAAGTAACAAAGTTATAGCCCTTTAGAAGTTTGAGTACCGCCCTGTCTCAATAATAATATTATGTGCTCGTGTTTGGCAACAACGGATATACTCCGCCTTATCGGTTCATCGCATCGGAAACAAAAAAGCGAAAGAATTTGAAACGCTGATCACGATGTTTTTATTCAGTCAATGTGTCAGTCGGTAACGCGTGAGTGAATAGTGGTGTTTGCTGCGTGGCTCAAACGAAATAAAAAATGGCACATATTTATGCGGATCGGTTTCCCAATCGAGTGCAACCAACCCCTCGTGCCTTTGTTAATGTAGTACAACGGGCTCGTGAATCAGGTGACTTAAGACCTCACACTGGAGGGCATGCCGATGCTCCAAGACCTCACGATCAAATACAGGTCCGCACTGAAACAATTTTTTTTTAATTTTTTTTTATTTTTACACACATATTTTGGTTTATCTTCCTTCTACAATCATTATCTGAAAATTAATGACTAAACTTCAAAGTCACCCTGTATATATAATTCAAATATAAGTCAATACTTTACCGTGATACTAATAACGCACCGAATTACTTCTGCTAAAAAAAAACAATAACGGATAACTCCACCGAAACTCAGTAGTTCTACGTCTATTGTCACCTGATATCGTTTTTTTATACTGATAACTTTTTACGGAAAATTATAAGTCACAGACGAGACAAAACAAACACTAAAGGCGCAAAAGAATAGGAAATGGTCATGTTTTATTCATGGGTTGACATTTAACATTCAGAAAAGCGTAAAAACGACAACCTGTACAAGGTGGTTACTGGTCTGAACTGCCAGTAACAATGACGTCATCAATTGCCATTTCGGGACGTCATCATTTGACAGCTGTTACTAGCCGCGTCGCATAAAATGTTAAAGTTAGTTAACCGGTTATGATTGGTAGATTACTTAAAATTGTTTTCTAAGATCACTTGTTTTGCTGACAACAGCATTGATCAAATGAGCATCTGCAAGGGGTCCGGAGCGGAACGTAATAGTACTTACTTATGATAATCCGTGACATAGTGCTCGGAAGAAGTATGCCCGGAATCAGATCCTCCATCTCCCCATTCCCCGTCAGAAAGGGACGGTACCCTCTCAGAACCCATGGAGGAGACAGCGCTATCGCTCGAGGTGTCCATACGCTCCATGTCGTGCCTGGACATGCTGCCAGATGGCGCGACGGATGTTTGAGGAGGCGGCGCTGTCACTCCGCCTGTCACATTGCTCACGCTGGGTCCAGTGCCGTTGTTCCCATCTAACATACGCATTGTGTACAGCCCTGAAAAAATAATCCATTACATACCTTGGTTCAGAAGTATGCCGAGCATTTTTATACCGGGTATTTCAAATTCGATCGTCACCAATGGGATATCGGAGTTGCCTAAATAGGAGCAAAGTTGTTTATTTAGGTTAGCTAACAAAATGCCGCTTAGAAAGTACTTTTGGAAGAGACGAAAAAAAATAATTTTCCCAAAATCGTGACTATCTGTAGTGGGATTTCAAAATGAATTGCTCATTAACATTGCCTCTTTTTCTCCTCTACAAAATGGTGTAATCAAGTTTTTAATTCGAAGTTCCTTCTTTCCATCACCAAATTTGTTTTTTCATATGGACGATATATAGGAATTTTGTACATTTAAATGGAGTTTTTAGTCCTAAATTCAGTGATATATTTCCTTAGTTCGCCAGGAATTCGTTGTTGAAACGAAAATTATAAGGAAATGAAATGTTACTGTGAAGCCTGAACGCGAAATGAAGATTTTAAAGATGGCAATAACAATATTAACCATATATATAAGCAGAGGTTACAAACTCTGTTACTCTATTCGGGTACAGAAAACAAATGACAATATGATAATTTCAAGGCTTATCTAGAAAATTTTGTTTTTCTGGAATAACTAAGTTTTTTGAATGTTAATGTATGACATTATACATTTTTAGAATCAGAATTATAACCTCTCTTAATCTGTGTAAAAATCCAATATGGCGTCTATGAGGAAAAATAAAGTTGATGTTGAAGGACAAAGGGTCTTGTTGAAATTCTGATTATTCTATCTCGTAAAGGAGAAAAAGTGACAAATGCGCAACTTAGCACCAATTTAAGCAATTTTGTATCTCCTACCGTTTCCGAGATCCCAATGGATAGGGTCGAATTTGAAACGGTATATAATGAGGTGCATTTACATTTAATTTGAATGGACGTTGAATCATAACATATCTGAGAATTTCGTTACTGTTCAGCATTGCTGTCAGACAAAACCGACGCAATGTCTGCATGACAGAACGGTACCTAGGAAAAAGACGCCACCGCTACACGATAGCGTGTGACAAAGATAGTAGATATGTCAACATATTATTCGCCATCTATTACCAGAACCGATCACTGCGAAGGTATATAGCAGGTATCCGTTGGAACTGCAAAAATTTCAGTTCCCACTGTGGCCGCTAGAAGCTGACAATTCTGGCGGTATAGTGAATGCGGTCTACTATACTACAACTATTTAAAACTGTAATGACTCATACGCGTGATCAACACGTGATCAGAGCTCGATCCCGGCTTCCTTCCAGTACAGCCGTATAGCGTACGACATATGTCGTTTCTGTGGCTTTGCGGTGGTCAACAGCACAGACAGAGATGGAAATAATGGCTGATTGTTCTCCGGCGGTAGAACCAATGAAATCAAAGGCGCGCCTCGACCGGCAGACTCATAGGCGTCGGCAACGCATTGGAACGTGTTTCGTTGAGCGATCGCATATTGTGTGTTTTTATAAGAATGGTTGTGTGATTGTTATTGTTGTGGTTTCTGTGGTTACTGTTTTGGTTATACTCAACCATGGAGAGTACAAATGGCACGAGTGGAAGTACTGAAAGCCAGGGAACAAGTAGACGGCTTCGTAAAGCACTGAAGAGGGACGCGAAAGAAATCGTGCTCAACGTGTTCAATTATCTGAACAGAACTATGTCGCAGGGAGATGCACTCGCGGGTTATGAAAGTATGACAGGCGTTCCAGAGTGGACCATTCGCAGGGTGGTGCATGAAAAGAAGAAACCTGGGGCTACTACTGATCCAAAGTTTAATTTGAAGGGACGAAAGGCCGTTAAATTGGATGACGATAGCAAAATGGCGTTAAGGCGAACCGTACATTCATTCTTCTTTAGGAATGAAATACCAACCCTCAAGGCTGTACATGCAGCGATCAAGGAAAATGAAATTATACCCCAAATGAGCGTCGAGGTAATGAGGAAATCCCTGCACGAAATTAATTTTCGTTACGAAACGCGTAATCGAAGTCAGTATTGATAGAGAGACCTGAAATAGTCGCCTGGCGTCGAAAATACCTACGCGAAATGATTGACTATAGGCGACAAAGCAGAAAAATCTGTTATTTGGACGAGACATGGGTAAATGCAGGTCACACAGTTAAAAAAACCTGGATAGACAAAAACGTAGTGAGTAACCGACAAGCAAGCATTGCAGGTTTGTCAACAGGTCTTCGTGGACCGTCAAGGAAAGGTCAAAGATTGATCGTAACTCATATTGGTAGCGATAGTGGCTTTTTAGAAGAGTGTGACTTGATTTTCGTCTCTAAGAAAGGAGGTGATTACCATGACGAAATGAATGTCAGCTGCTTCGAGAGCTGGTTTCAAGGGGTGCTTCAGCGAGTTGAGCCCAACTCTGTGATCGTCATGGATAATGCTTCCTACCATAGTCGTCGAGCCGAACGTGTACCGACTATGGGATCTAGAAAAAGTGACATGCAGCAATGGTTGCGCGAAAAAGGAATCCCGTTTGACGATGCATGTGTGAAAGCGGAATTGTATGAAAAAATTAAACAGCACAAACCTGCGAACATTAGTTACGTGACTGATGAGATGGCCCGTCAATGTGGTGTCACTGTGCTGCGGTTACCGCCCTACCACTGTGAACTGAACCCAATAGAGCTCATCTGGGCTCAAGTGAAGGGTTATATTGCGCGCCATAACACAACCTTCAAATTACCAGACGATAAGGTTTTACTTGAGACTTCCATACAGCTAGTAACGCCCGAAGCTTGGCAGAATGCTATCCGTCATGTTGTGAAGGAAGAAACAAAAATGTGGCAGCTTGACCACCACATCGACACCATCATAGAGGAAGTTATAGTCAATTTCAACGAGGAAAGCGATAGTGACAGTTTATCACTGTCAGATGTAAGTGAAAGCGACGATGAATAAAGGTAATTCCCAAATGTTTGACTTACAATATGTTTCAAACCACTCTTTATTAAGCATGTGACAAATCTAGTTCACCCATGTTAAACATTCATACCCCGCCTATGAACAGCCGACTACTGGTAGTTAAGTGATGTTCACGTGAACATCGATGAGTCATTACAGTTTTAGATAGTTATAGTATAGCTATTTAATAAACTAGACATGCTGTTTTCGTCCGTCCGACCATAGGCAACCAATCATGAACTGCTGTTTCGTGGTCTACTTGCCATCGAACAACACAATTTGAGGTTAATCACCACCTGATCTTTCATCAAAAATAGTTCAAGGGTTTATTTATATATGCTTAATTTTTAATTAAGTAGCCATACTATGAATCATGTATCCCGCGCCCAACAGTGTTAAACAAGATAAAATGACGCTAAAAATACAAAAATGTAAAGCGCACTAATTATATTTTGTAATGTTTGAGTTTTTAAAGGCAGAAACGACTTGTATTTAGCTAAAACTTGCGTACGATCTTGAAAAAATTCCGAGACATTTTATCATCGCATGAACGAAATTACTCTGTTCAACTACATATATTTAACCACGACCAATAGATAAAAATCTCATAGGAAAATTCCCGCACTTCTGTTGCGTGTTATTTTTCTGAATTGACTTACATTTCGTCGAAAATAATAGAGACAAAAACACATACACATGTAACTGCACCACAGTCTATAGTGTTCCATTTTACATACGCTCACCACCTCGACGCGTTTTTAAGTGCTGTTCAACAATAATCCATTTGTTAAGGATGAGTTTCTTATCAGATTTCCCACCTAAGATGTTTATGGTATCTATCGAAACACATTTACTACACGAACGAAAAATTAACCACTATGGATATGAATAACTGTGTTTTAGCCACAAATCTAAATATAAGGTACATATACATATTTGATACGATGACTGTGTGTTATTTAAATGAACTGCCATTAATTCTGTATTCTGTTTGTACAATAGTGCGCTTATCAGTTTTTACTGTCGTTCAGAAATTTTCATAGCGTGTATTAATTCAGAAATACAACGTGAAAATTGATACAACTGAAAGATACCGGTACAGGGTGGTCACTACAGATAACATGACATAAATGGAAGACGTTGCAAGGAAGGGCTTTCAGCCAAGAAGCTTTTTTAGACACTATGTTCCAAGCTCTTGATGAGCTCAGACATTATTTGCACTACGTACTTTGCAGTTTTCTCTGTTGTTGTACAAGAAAGCTCGGTACGCCCCCTCATTGTCTATAGGTGTGGCCCAGAAAATCCCGGGATTTTCAGATTATTTAAATCAGAGTGAAGAAACGAGACTTCAAACGAAAAAGCTTTGTCGTTGTTGAAAAGTGCTCTATTGGCGGCAGAGCTAATGGTTAAAAGCGAAAAGATAAAAATGGCCCAAACTTCGTTTTTTCCTGATTCACATGCTCCTGATCATTTTCAGAAAAGATTGGGATTGAAACTTGGGGATTGTAGCCGTGGGGGTGCAAATATCGCATCCGCTTCTAATACTGGTAACACTATCTGAATCTATTAGACATGATATAATAGTCGTTCAGTACACATTTATGTATGTGAATCTATAGCGGATATTAGACCTGCTATGCGCATACAAGGTAGGCGCGACGTTATCTTTACACGTACATGACCATTATGCTTCGAGGCTACTTGATTCCGGGAGGACCCTCTTGCGAAAGCAGGTTCAGCCACCATGCTCGTTGGTTCTAAGCTAGCCTCATGGGTGCCCGAAGAGTCAGCAGGAAAATGGAGAAGTGGATTTCAAGACACCACTCAGAAATTGAGAAGCATCACCAGACATCTCCGTCAGAACTTATCGAAGGGCCCAGCGCTAAGGATGGACGCTTTTGTTTATCCTAAGGGTGGGACTGTTGTCTGACCATAACACGTTGAGGAGCCACCTGGACGAAAGGAGGATTTTTCTGCTTTGTCGCCTATATTCAATCATTTCGCGTAGGTATTTTCGACGCCAGGCGACTATATCAGGTCTCTCTATCAACACTGACTTC